CGAGAGGTCATTAAGACAAGCCTTGACTTGATTTCCTGTCACATCAACGACTAAACATGTCGAGTTTAAACATATCTAAAGACATAAACTGGACAAAACAAGAGGTCTTCTGCGGGATAAATCTTGAATTTTACCAGATCATCCTCCTTGTATCTTTGAATATACCCTCTGCCATGATCGCTTTAATAGGGAATTGTCTTATTCTTCTGGCTCTTCTGAAAATGACGTCCCTTCATCCGCCTTCAAAAATTTTCCTTGCATCCCTTGCACTTACTGATTTATGTGTTGGCGCCGTTTCACAGCCCCTCTACATCATGAATCTATTACTTCGCGGCAAATTATGTCTGAGATATCTCCAAATAATCACTTTTATTAGCATTACGTTGTTTGGAGGAGCATCACTGCTGACCGTTACAGCGATCAGCGTGGACAGACTTCTCGCCTTGAAAATGATGTTGAGATACAAGCAGGTAGTAACATTGAGACGCGCTGGGCTCACCATTGTTTTATTTTGGCTTATGAGTGTTGTGGTTTCCATTATGCTGGTAGTCTATTTTTTTGTTATGCCGCACATCGTATGTACAGTTCTGCTGCTTTGTATGGTAACTTCAACCTTCTGCTACACAAGAATATATAAAACACTTCGTCGACATCAGAATCAGATTCAAGTTGTTCACGTTCAAGAAATGAGCGAAGGGAGCAATCCCTTGATTGTAATGTCACGATACAGAAAGACAGTGTCCAGCGCAGTATGGGTGCAACTGGCATTCCTGGTTTGTTATGTCCCTTATCTACTCGCAGTGATATTTTATCTAACCGGTACGACATCACTACCATCGTATGAGTTTTTTGTGGAACTAGCAACGTCCCTGGTGCTGTTAAACTCAAGTTTAAATCCATTTATTTATTGCTGGAAGATCGACGGCGTGAGAAAAGCTGCAAAGGACGTCATAAAATCGCGGTGCTGATTCCAAATTTTTTGATGAAGTGGCAAAGTTGGAATTCTACCCCATTATCTAACAATTTCTTGATGTTATAGAAAGGTAGCAAATTCTTCTCGATTATCTTAAGACCCTGAGTGTTGGTCCGGACGGGGCTCGAACCCTCGACCTCCCACACAACAGTCCAGCGCTCTATCCATTGAGCTAACCGATAATTTCACTAGTCTGTGGTATGCCTAATATAATATTGTAGGCATCGGCGATGTATCCTTTTTTACACATAATAAGCTCTTCACATTTTGTTGAGTTTGACTTCATTCTGTTTTGGCCTGCCCACCGCCGTACAAACTGATTCATTAATTCTGTCGAGTAATCTATATCATGAAATACCGGAGCAATAATCGTGCAGTCATCAGCATGTTTAAAACCAAGTGTCTCATTCCCTAATTTGATCTCCAGGTCCTTAAGAAATATTGAAGAAATGTAGAAGGTTACATGTAGTTATAAACATCCCTTTTCCATTTGTTGCATTTTTGGGGAATGCTCTTATCATTGCTGCTCTGAGAAAGGTTTCGTGTTGTCATCCACCATCGAAAGTTGTCCTCGGTTGTCTTGCTTGCACGGATACAACCTATGCAAGTGGTTTTCGGCGCAGTCGAAACGTTGTGATTATCTTCATGACGTCTCAACGTTCACCTCAACGCTCTTCGTTGGAGTATCCTTACTGACAATTACTGAGATAAGTGTGGACGGACTTCCTGCGTTGATGATCGGGCCATGATACAGGCAGGTTGTGACTTTAAGACGCGTACAATTTTCCATTGATTCATTTTCCTTATTAAGTGGTATTTTAGCCGTGAAAAAAATCATTTCCCCGTTTAGTGCCTTATATGTCACCAGTACAGCGATATTACTGTGTTTGGTTGTCTCAACATGCTGTTACGCGAAAATATTCCACGGACTTCGTCGCTAAGAAATGCAAGTACAAAGCCATCTTCACCAAGGAGAGCAGAACGCTGGGCTGGAAATCGTATTAAATATAACAAAAAAAAAAATCAGATACCAGTCTCCCGCGCACTATGCGTGCAAATTGCGTTTCTGTTCTGTTACCTTCCACATTTAAGTGCCCTTATATTTCTTATTCTCAAGTTTCAACGGAAAAATGCAGGCCAATATTTTCTCTGTTTTCCGAAGTAGGAAAATTTATTGTGTACCTTAACTCGAATCTAAATCCATTTTATTATTTCTGGAAGATAAGGGCCGTGAGACAAGAGGTTAAGAGTATTGTAAGGCGATGTAGCTATCTCTAGCTGGTGTGACTGTTGCATTAACAACTTTTAAAATAGTGTTGAACCTTTTACCGCTGCTGTGAATCAATGGTATTCATATTAGTAGAGCCAAGTTAGGAAGGAAATCAAGGATCTGAAAAAATTAATCATCGCAGGCTTTTATTTTTGGCGCTTAGTCGTACAGTAGATATTCGGCTGTAAGTCGTCGGAAGAAAAATTAAGTAAGCAACGAGACCTGCCAAAATGTCATTACACTAGCAAGGGATAAAATAATAACTATTGTTTGTCAGTCTGTCAGTCTGTTAAATTTTGTTAACTTCCAGTTTCTGGAGGGGCTCCGTTCCAGTGACTCACTAAAAGCAACTACTTCAATGTCCCCAACTAAATTGTTGATATACAATAGGCCCTGCGTGCATTTAAAGGGTCGAAGCACCCAACACACCTCTCTGTTACTGTCTGTTGCTCTTGACAACATAAAGAATGAACGTAAGAAAGATCAAGGGATTGGAGACTATATATGTTGAAGTCAACTCTTCCCCTCTCCTCCCCTCCCTTCCCTTTCTCTTTTGAAAGTTTTGTTTAGTTTCAGTTTCTTAAACTAAACAAACGATCTAACCGCAGTTATATTTTACTTAACTAGTATATCACTATCGTTTGATTTCTTTTGAGGACTATCTGTGTCCCTTGTGTTGGTGAGCTCAAGTTTAAATCCATTTATCTTAGACAAAATATAATTTTAGAAACAAATTCATTCATTGCCTCAAAGTTAATGCACACCGTCCCAAAGATTCTTATGTAAGTTTCTTAATTTTTAAATACAAGTTAGAGTTGTAAGTTAAGAATTTTTTGCATGTTTTCCAATGATTAACCTTTTTACCACATTTTATCCTTTACTTTGTGACATAGACTTATAATTTTTATCTTGTGTAAGGAAAGAGAGACCACTACGTTAATATCGACAAAATAACCTAAAAAGAAACCAGAGAGAATTACATCTGGCAACAACTTACCATACGGTCTACGTTGGTTAGTTAGGGTTGAAACTAAGAAATAATACAGTGGCGTCCTGTGTGCAGAAACTATCACTTTAGCCGGTTAGTCATGATACACTTTCATTAATGTTAACCAGCGAGTCTTGACTTAAGTTTAAAAAGTCTTGTCATTTGATCGGTCGTCGCTTCTAACCAGAGGAGGGTGATGTTTTATCTTCATGAATGTCAATTTTTTAAATATATCTTTCAAAAAATCCTAGACCCTCTGTATTAGTTATTCCGCCATAGATCCTCCTTGATACATGGCGATGGAGATGGATCAGGAGTGAAAGATCATGGAGAGAACAAATGGCAAATTTAAGAAAACTTTAGTAAATACAAGTTGTATTATTTGAGAGAAGGCCATCTGAAATCGAAATCGAAATGTATGTGGCCAGGATTGTATAACATACCCAACGATGAATTACCTAGGCCGAGCCGTTTAATTTTTTTGCAGAGCCTTTCAAATATGAAAGACGAAAAAGAACTCTTTATAGAATTGCGTGAAACAGTCCATTAAACAATATTTGATGGTAATGCCTCTTTAACTTTTGAAAATACTTTGAGCTGTAAAACTAGTAGTAGATTGTTTTCGATTGTTTTCTTGGTGTTGTGTCTGGATTATTCGAGACATTACTGCAATATTAAATATAATATCATGTGGTAGGGGCGTTGACCTAATTGTTAGTGCGCCGGACTCCGGGCCTAGAGGTCCGGGTTCGAGACCTAGGTAGGTCAGTGAGCTGTGTTCTTGGGAAAAACACTTTACTCTTACAGTCTCTCTCTCTCTCCACCAAGGAATATACAAGGGTACCGGGGATGTGCCAGGGAGACCTGGTGAAATACTGGGGGAAACCTTGCCACCCATGGGAGAGTAATGATATCCCCAGACGTTCCATGCCTACGGAAAGGGAGGTTAGGTACGGCTGGATGAGTCACTTGGCTCGAGTGCTGATTTTACCGTTATCCTCAAGTATACTTGACACTCAAGCCCTTTTGGGGCCATCAGGTCTTCTGGAAAGATGATCATTGATAGACATTCGATTCTTTATTGGCGTACCAGTACCACTCCTTACATTTTTAGACAACTGTTAACTTAAGCTGAAACATTAATTGACCTTTTGGAAGAGAGTTCTTTATTATTCCGTTGAAATTGAATTATTAACTAAAAATTATTTTCTTTGAAATAATTGGATTGAACGGAAACAAGAGCTTGAAAATTATCATAGTTTGATATTTTTGCCAAAAAGTTTTGTTAGCTTAAATTAAATCTTCGTTTTAAAGGCTTCCATCCTACAAAGACACTCATCGTCCTTTTTTTCTTGGGCGATAGATAAATTAAGTTGGCTGTTACCGATTAGTGGACATGATAAAAATTAATGAGGTCACTCAAGCAAAATTGCATTAGCTTGCAGTCGGCGAATATTTTCTGGATGCGCTGTCCTTTTATTCAATTTCCCTCGAAGACAACTAAGATAAGTCGGTAGGAGAGACTTTTGAAACAGTCTGACCGAGTTTGAAAACAGATTTCTGTTTTCGAAATTGCTTGTAAAGGTCTCGTTTATGTGGGTCCCTAAGCTCTTTGTCATTTCAAACAATAGCGGGACTACGGCGACAACTAAGGACTGGGTTTGGCAACAGCTAAAAAGAGTTTGGGGACAACTAAGGAGAGTTTGGCGACAACTAAGAAAATTTAGCCACCACTAAGAAATGTAAAACTTTATTGAGAAAGGATTCGGCGTCACATGGTTGGACAAACATTCATAGGGAGATCAGAAACAACACGGTGAAACGTAAAAAAGGGGAAACATCTTGAAAAGGAATGAGACTGGTTTGAAAGATGAACTGCTAGCTATTCACAATCACCTCTTTACAACTGTGCATGTTTTTAAGCGATTACTTGTTGGTATTTTGAAAGCTATGGTACTCAGGATATTTCCATATCAGACTATACTGAACAAACTTAACTCAAGTTTAACGTTCCTTACTTAATATAACGAGTGCTTCAATTCGAGTCTCCAAATTTTACGTTCAACAAAAGAAGTGGAGCGGTTGAGGAGCAACGTGTACGTAACAGACAAGATGACTTCGAGTGAAAATGCACAACATAGGAGTGAGCCGTCGAATTAGAAGATTTTTCCTCCTTCTTTGTAGAATTCCAATAGGCGGCGCTTTCTATCTTCTCTCATATAGCTGTGATGATTGCTCTTAGCATCTATTACGTGAACGTTTTCAGGGCTTTGGTTTTGATCGAAATGTCTTAAACGTTTTTTTTCTGCCTTTAAGGTTACCGCGTGCAACATCAAGATTTTTGCAAGAGACTGTAACCCTCTCGTGGTCAGGTCCAAGCATTTTTAAATGAATTTTCAGTGCTCGCTTGTGATAAAGTTTTCCTTTCTTTCGGTCACCTAAGTCACAATGGACAACACCTAGGTTATTGTAAGAGGCTGCAACTTTGCAATGGTCAGATCCCAGTTTTTCTAATCGAATCCCCAGGGCATGTGTATAATGATCCCTTGCCTCCTTGAGTTCACCCAAGTCATGGCACAAGATACCCAGGTTACTGTAAGACGTCGCGACATCAACATGCCTGGGTCCAAGTTTTTACAAACGAATTTCCAGTGCTTTTTCATGGCAATTCTTGGCCCGTTTCAAATCACCGAGGTCTCTGTACACTCCACCTAAGCTGTTGTAAGAAGCTGCGACCTTGACATTTTCAGCTCCTACATTTCGTATTCGAATGTTTAGTGCACGTGAATGACACTCTCTTGCCAGCTCTTTCTCACCAAGTTTTTTGTGTACAATGCCCAGGTTGTTGTAACTATCTGCGACAGCAGCATGCTCCGGTCCGAGTTTTTTAACACGAATGTCTAATGCACGCACAAGGTAGTCTTTTGCTTTCTCCATCACATCCATTTTACTAAGCACATTACCCAAGTTATTGAAAGAAATTGCAACACTCTCATGATCAGATCCGAGTTTTGTCAGGAAAATGTTCATTGCAAGCTCATAATAATCCTTTGCCTTCTCGAGGTTGCCTAGGTCACAGTGCAAAATACCCAGGTTATTGTACGACGCTGCGACATCAACATGATCAGCTCCGAGCTTTTTAAGGCGGATGTTCAATGCAAGGTTATAGTAGTGCCTTGCCTTCTCCTTGTCACCGAGATCAAAGAGCACACTGGCAAGGTTATTGTAGAAAGTTGCGACTTTGACGTGCTCACGCCCAAGCTTCTTCAGGCAGATGTCCAGTCCACGTAGGTAATAGTCTTTGGCTGTCGTTTTCTCCCCCTGGTCACTTAGTAAACCACCCAGGTTATGGTAAGAAATTGCGACGTTAACATGATCGGCACCGAGCTTTTTCTCACGAATGTCTAGTGCTCGCTCGTAACAGCGTTTTGCTTCCTCTCTTTCGCCAAGTTTACGGTAAACATTACCCAGGTTATTGTAAGAAGCTGCAACATCAACATGTTCAGGTCCCAAGTTTTTCAGATCAATTTCTAATGCACTCTTAAAGTAGGCTTTTCCGTGTTCTAAGTGACCTTGGTAAATGTGGACAATTCCCAGGTCGTTGTAACATGTTGCCTTTTCGCTGTCGCCACATCCTTTACCCAAGTTGATAATTTCTAGTTCCACTTTGAAATAGATAAGTGCCGCGTGTAACTCGCAATGATTTCTACACACACGGCCAAGAGCGGAAAACACATGACGATTACTACACAAAGTTGTTAAGTCACTTTCGGAGTTATGGGGAATCCCTTGTTCTAATAATAGATGTTGAATTTTCAAGATCACCGCCTTTAAATGAGGAACTATCCTCTTGCCAATAATTACAAAATCTAGGTCCTTGAACTTCGAAAATGACGTTAAAACCTTATTTGCTACTTTCACGTGCTGGTCCCGTGCAAAGTCTTTGGTCGCAGACTTAAGAACATCATGGACGACTCCATGCACTCGAATGTAAACGCAGTCTTTTTCTTCCTCTTCTTTTTCTTCTTCTTCTTCTTCAAATAAAAGCAACGAACAGCGACTGATTCTCATTCTAATCATATCTTCATCTTCAAATTCTTCATCCATTTCCTTAATGTACTGGATGATGATGTCCAGTAGGATCGGGTTTGGTGCGCACATGGAGAGAAGCGTGAACATATGATGCGAAACTATGTCGTCTGCCATCGCTTTTTCGACAGCAAGAGAAATTGCTTTCGTCATGGACTTGGGATAGCCTGGATTGGTCTGAGAAAGAAGGGTCTCGGTTGCACTTCGTTGCCCTCTCTCTAGTTTCATGAGATAGTCACTCCAGCCCAATGTAGACTTGTTCTGACGGATTTGACTCAAATAAATTGCAGCGCTCGCGAAAGCAAGTGGTTGAAAGTCTAACACCTGCGCGACTTTTTCTTCTAACTTGGCATCTGTGACACCAGAGAGCACTCGTAATAAAGACCTGGCATCATCTAGACGCATCCCTGCGCTGACTGAAATATGTTGGATGGAAGAGCTTGTTGCCGGGATACAAACTGTGTCCTGTGTTGTTACCGACATCTGGCCTCTCGCCCACTGCTCGTTCCCTGCATCTGGCAAGTGAAAGTGTACTCGAGATACGCTTGTGACATTGTCAACTATCACAAGCCACGAAGTGTAATTCTCAATTTTAGTGCTTATCAACGTCATGAGATTTAAGATTTTCTCGTCTGTGCTCAGGGCCTTGGAACTAACAGTGTTTGTGACTGAATATTCCGGGCATTTGCAATGCCTAGCGAACGAAATATACGATTCCAAAAGAGTTTCCGAATTCTCAGCATTAAGAGTCATGACAAATGGAATAGCGAAAGGAAGCTCGTTGGCTTCGTCGTTGAGTCGCTTGGCTGCTGAACGGGCTAACTGAGATTTTCCACTTCCTGGATTTCCTGATAAATACAGCATGCTTAACCATCATTGGCGCTTTTAAGTGCTTTAAGCTCTTTGATTATTTCATCAATCTCCCACTCGCGTGCTGCAACATCGTGTGTAGGCTTTGGAGGGAGAATGCAAAATGGAAGGACACAGCCGTGTAACTGTTCCTTGAGGACTTCTCGTTGCTCTCTTATTTCTTGTACTTCATTTTCTTTCTCCAGAAGTTCCACTTCCATCTTTTGGACAGCTTGTCTGAGGTCTTCAATCTTGTCAAGGACATCTCTCAATTCTTCCGTTGGAAAATTTGTCTGATTTTGGATTTCAATTATTCTATACGTGGAAAGACCAGCTGCGTGGAATGCAGTCTTTATCTTTAAAAGTGCATTTTGGAAATCTGTACTTGAAAGATGGCCTCGTGGCATATGGGCAAATTCCTCATTTCGAAATTTTCTAAGGTCATCTATATGCGAGTAAAGGACTGGGTTGAGGCCATGGATGCAATCGGAAAAAAGGATGGCGTAAAACAGCATGGTACAATCCCATTCAGCTCTATCACCATTTCTCATGGTTGTCAACAGACGAGCGTTTCTGCTTCTATTTCGAGGAGATTCACCATTCCAAAAGTCCATTCCATTCTTTGGGTCGTCTTTCCATTCTCCTATTGTTGTCTTGTATCGATTGTCCCACTCTTGTTTAAAGATTATTCGAAGGCCCTCAGTCAGTAGATCGGTGACGACATAACAAATCCTGTAGTAGTTCAATTGTTCTTCCTTGTACTCTAAAGCTGCAGCCATATCCACATCTAACCTTCAAGAAACCACAAGTTTGTTATCAGACAATCTTCCTTTACCTAAACTAGGTGATCAAGCCTTTTTACAAATCTCTTTCATTAAAGTTCCTTTTGGCATTCATTAACGTGCACTTATTTAATGTGACCGCATGCAACCGGAAGTAAAGTAAAACTAAATACGTTTATTACATCGAGACCTGGGAAAGGAACGGAGAAAGGGTTTAAAGGGAGTTCCCCTAACATGTTATTATGACTGACATCGATTTTAAGCCTCCGGCTGTAATAACAGCTACAACTTTTCAATAGCTTAAGTGTATGCGTTACTAGTGCATGAAAATTCTACGCAGTACTCAGTGTCTTGCTGTGTCTTGCAAAATAAGCAAATTTCCTTCCCTTGAAAACCCCAACCACATATGATACGGTGACTTTATTAAGGTAAGAATCAAGACACATGAGTGAGAGGTTCTATCTAAGTTTGCATCAGTATCGTCATAATGTTTTTGATAATGATGTGAAATGTGGCTGAGCAATTACTAGAATTCATGACAAATAGATTTGTTTTGACCACTGTCCTTTTGTGTTCACGCGCCCATTCTTTCTAAAACTCTCATTGTTTAATTGGACTAAGCCACAAAAGAATTTATATTTTAAAATGAAGCCTGGAGGGAAACTACGTCAAAGAATAAAAGAGTTATATGTTTAAATAACACCTAAGAGATCTCTTTTACTCTCACGGTTTCAGTCTGGTTCTTCCTTGTTTGTGTAGCTTATTGATTCATTTTTTCCTGGTTGAGCGGCCAGTTTAGTGCTAGTCGCAGAAGTTAGAGGATTTTTACGAGTTTTCCATTCCCGTCGGCGTCTGTTGTCCGATAGATTCGAAGTATTCAAATACAAATGATTCAACCGAAGCCCAAGACACTCGTATTTCTTGTTACAGAGTGGTAAAACTCGGATCAAAGTTATTTCAGAAAGGCAACGTAATCATTTCTAGAAAGAATATAAATGAAATCGTATTTAAAAGACTCTTATGGGAGGAAATAAACACTTTCAAGAAGAATTTAAGGTATTTAGCGACAGCCCACAGCCATAAATTGAAAGCATATTTGTCTTCATTATTTTGGGAATCAAAATATGCTGTAAGAGGCAACGACAGCCACGAAATTTGGAAGACCGATGCAGGAAAACGTTTAATTTGAGTAGATCTTGAAAAGCATACAAACTTTATCGACTGGATTACATTTCTAAACAAACCGCTGCATATCGCAATTTCATCTTGAATATAATTGTTTGGTGCCTTAGACTCAGTCAACTCAAAATGCGCAATGCACTTCAAGCAAAGGATGAAAAATTCTTAGAAAAACTATTATTAAAAACTATCAAACAAAAATTTGCACAGATGAGGCCCAGTTGAGTGTAATTTCAGTTTCGCAAGGAGGAAATTAAGTTTTAATTGAATCAAGCGCCATAATGTAAAAGAATTTCCTTGAAAAGAGATGACAGAACAAGACTCTGAATTTAAGCTAAGCATGAAGTATTCGATTAATATTGGTTGTCTGCAAACGGAAATCAGCTCAGTATGAAGTCGATTAGATAAAAGATGCTGCACTCAGATGTAAGTCGCCAAGTATTATAACATGAACAGGCATGCAACTTAAAAGAATCTTTGAATTTATACCTCAAAGTTCACTTTCCTTTAAAATCTACACAAAATATATGTAGATACACTTACGTGTGCTGCGGTCAGATTTGCAGGAACCATTCGAATCAACGTCTTTGCTTTTGTCCAATACAGTCACAGCGACCAGCTTTGAAATCGAAAGAACAAAGTCTTAAGCCCAACACGGAAGCTTTTAATACAATACGATGATTTTGTTTCTATTTTTGTATGGCAACAAGAGTAACAGGTAGTGACGGATCAGTGATGCACTCACTCTTTAAAAGCACTCAAGGATGATTATTAATTAAACATAAAAAGTCTGGCGACATTGACGTAATCGCTTTACGTGGGTTATGGGAACTTGCTCCTACAGAAACTGTAACTGAAACTGAACAAATCTTTCCAGAACGACTGGGAGGGGAAGGAGTGTTGACATTACATCCCATAATGCATTTAAGGGAAAATAAGGGGACCTAAGTTTCGATTCGGTGAAGTAATTTTTACACACGGCCTCCTTGAAAAGCAGTTGTTTTCTTTTCATCTCAATTATTTTTAGTTTTTTATCTTACATTCTAGCTTAGTTAGGCAGTTAGTTTTCTCTACTTAAATGTAAATGTACCTGAAGAACATACCGGGTATAAATAAAGTTACAATTACCATTGCCATTACACAGACATGCCCTAATGCCTTGAGGTAAAGCAAAACAACCCTGTGATAAGTCCAATTGCCGTAATATGCGTTAGGAAGCTGCATTCCTTCGTTTAAAGTTGATGTTAATGCCACAAAATCGGAATTTGTGGCATGAGAATCAAGGCTATGAACATTTAAGAAACTGCCAAGTTTTTGGTCTTTGAGTCTCATTTGGACTTTTGAACTGAGTTGAGATTAAAATTTGAGGTTAAATATGATTTATGGCCAAATTTTGAAAGAAATCAACATTTTGAACCGAACTACACCGTACCGCTTTCAGAGAGACTGCCTCTTAGATGCCCAAGACCTTGATCATATTCCCCTGGGGGGTACGGGAGCGCATTAAAATTGCCCTGGAGCTCTGAATTATCTGCAGGATGCAACCTTTTACAGATGTTGTGGTAGTAACTAACAAATTCTTCTAGCTCGACATATCAACGGTGCTAAAAGCTTCTAAACTTACTGATTTTTTTCTCTGGGATGTTAAAACACGTTAAACTAAGGTAATTGACTGGCGTGTTACAACCCTCCCTTAATCTTTTTTTTTTTTTACGAAATTTACCAGTCAAAGCAAAGAGGAAGAGTTGCAGATTTTTTGATATTAAAAACTGATAAAAAAAATGAGAAAGCAAAGGAAACTCAGGCGTTGAAAAATTGCTCTTGGTGAGCCTCGTTTCCATGTTCCATAGGGCTCCCTTTATCTTTTTTTTTTGTACGAAATTTACTAGACAAAACAAAGAGGAAGAGATGCAGATTTGTTGATATTAAGAAGAGATAAAAAAAATGAGAAAGCAAAGGAAACTTAGGCGTTTTAAAATTGCTCTTAGTCAGCCTCGTTTCCAGGTCCAATAGGGCTCCAAATAGCCCTGAGCCGCAATTTTTTCATGCAAATTAAATATCAACTTCAAAATATCCATTTCGTATTATGCACCCTTAACAAAGTTACTCGGCAAAATTTGAACCAAACCGGTGAATATGTCTGTCCGACTCGGTTCGACATTTACGGGCTATCACTCTTAGGTGATATTTTCTTGTCACATTCAGTTTAAGATTTTTGATATGGTCATGGTGTCAACCTGTTCTGACACTTTTCCCGTCCGCCCCTAAATCTGTTAAAATCGATTTAATGTCCAAGAAACAACGAATCAAGGTTATTCGACTCAGAAACATCCCAAAATCATTTTATTTTGTACGCACGACCAAATCATTTGAAATTTAACTAAGTAAAAAAAATTAAACAGAGTTTTTTTTTTTAAGAAGTAACCCACTCTGATTTCCCACGTGGAACTTAAGGTGATGAACGGAGATGGTCTCAGTGCGCCAGTCAATGCAAAGCTGTCAAAATTAACGCCTCGTAGGCTCTCAAGTGACTCTCAGTCATTTGAAAAGAAAGAATAAAGGTTTATCATCGTTTTCTTAGCTGCTTGTCTTACATCTCTGATTTTAAAACAGTAAATAATTGGATTTAGCGTCGAATTTGAGAAAACCAACGTTATTCCCCAAGACAAACCAATATTTATGAAAAGGGTTCTCGAATCATGTATAGCAAATATGGCCGCTGCTACTCCATACGGAAGACAACAAGCCACCAATGTGACTTGCACCAACAGAGCTGTGGAGACAGTCTTTCTGTACCGCAGTCCATTCAGTGGAGTTTTTCCTCTTAACTGTTGTACCTGGAGGAGATGGTCTTTTACTTGAGCTTGGCGATGACGAAGGGTCAAGTAGATTGTTGAATAACAGAAGGTTGACGTCGCGACACATATTATCAACACGATTGAAATGATAACCAAGGTAGTTCGGAAACTATACAAGAACATTGTCGAAGTGGTGACACTCAAAAGCCACAAAGTGGTGATGAGGAGTTTAGCTTTTCTCAAAGTTACCACTTGTCTGTATTTCTGACTTAACAAAAGAGCAAGAAGTCTGTCCACACTAATCACAGCGAGTGTAGACAACGATACTCCCACAAAAATCAAACCCATGATATTTGCAATTATTCTAAGAATCTCACAACTTCTAGAGTTTCTTGGAGATACCAGCAGGGTGACATAGGTTAGAGGCTGTACAATGAAGCCAACCCAGAGATCAGTGCAAGCAAGGCGACCTAGCATAAGTTTCGAAGGTGGATGAATAGATGAAACCTTTTAAAGTGCAACGAGGATCAGAAAATTTCCCAGAAATGCCGTGATAGATAGAGGAATATTGAGTACTAAGTACAGAATTTTTTGCTGTTTTCCATCAACAGAATTATGACAATGTGGCTTTTGAATTATCGTCTGGGTGGTAGTTTCAGTCCAGTTGGTCATTTTTTATCTCGATCTTGATGCATTTGTTTATTGATAAGCAGGGAGGTCACACAGGCGAGGCTAATCATCCGTTGTTCTTGCACTGGTTTTACTCCTGGACTTGGCGTTAAATGTATAGTTTCAAAATGCTATTCTATCTCGTCCTTGTTTTGAAGATTTTCCCTGAGTCCTTTGGCTGGCCTGCCTTGTGAAAGAACAGCACTCCAAATTTGAAATCTGACGCGAAATTTGTAAAATTAGTTGAAGAATCACTCCAATATTGTACCGATGTATTTATCGCGTGTAACTCAATTCCTTCTCGTGCCACTTCTTAATTCTATGTCAGCGTAGGTAAAGCTGTTGTTCTATCAGATTCTATGCTTACCCTACTCTAAAAAGACAACTCAACGACCTGGGGAAAGATCACTGTCAAATATGATGAGCAATATACTGAAAAGTGTTAAGATCATTATTCACCAGGTGCTGTCCTCTGTTTTCTTTTTTCTTTTCTTAACTATAAATCATCATAATTATCACCATCAGTTTGAATTTTTAGAAATTCACGTTCACTTATTTTCTTTTGTAGTATTTTCAACATACCACCTTTCCTTATTTATTATCTTGGAAGATTTCTACGAAATGGGCATAATCGTAAAGTCTCAAATGATCCTTTGTGAGGCAGAGAACATGCCCGCCATTCGTCCTGTTCAATTTTGTTGTTTGTCATGATGCAGGGTAATGACTAACTCTTATCATGACATACAGGAAATAAATAATGGCAATATTGAATGTTCAAATTTCTAAAATTTATTTTGTTGATGGACTGATCGCAAGGTTATACTTACTTTTTGCATATTGAAAAAGCTGCGACCGATATTTATTACCTTAGAGATATGGAAATTATACTTTCGTTTACAAATTGAGAGTTTTCATCCAAAACTGGCATAACCATAACGCCCTTTTTTGCATGATTGTTTTCTTGTCGATTCCGTTAACCTTGCCATTTTATTGACAGTTCAAAAAGAAATAATTAAAAACAAAAAGCACAAAATAAAGACTTAAAGGCGAAATTTTTTATACTTGCAAACAAACAGTTTAAGATCGAATATTGTCAAGATCACAACGACCGAAATTTGTGTCCGTGGTCATTAAATAAGTTACAAACTCGGTATTTGTGATGATAGACCGGGAGGATTTAATACCCTGGTTTACGAAAGACAACTTGCATTTAAATCGCGATATATTCACAACTTTCACAAGAATGAAACAGCCATGACGGTGATAAGTTCGCTATGACAGATTTACTAAGAGGTCAATCTACATTATAAGCTACACTGTTGAAAACGTATATCTCAGACCGCACTCAGGTTCATTCCAAATTAAAATCAAGAGCTGGAGAGGCTGACTGAGTAATTAGATGTCTTAACCACATGACATGGGTAAACACCAGAGCACAAAGAGACCTATAGTTTGTGTTTAAAGCCCCTTCTATCTCTTATGAACGCGGCGATCTGCGTTTTAAAATATGAACATTTTCCCTTTATTCTCGTATGCAAGCATCATATTTCTTCTCCTTCCTCCATTTCCGGGAGAATTGCTATTCAAAGTTTCGAAAATATATTTTTATGTCTGCTGCATACTTTTCAAATACTCCATATGACTGAGGTTTTCAAAATTGAATGGAACCCATGAAAACAAAGTGATCAGAATCATTACGTACGATTAGATTAAAAATAAGAAAAAATATGGACGTATATGGATGTCGAAGGAAAAGTGTTCTTTTCAACCGCTAAAAAACCTGCCCATATTGCAACTGGAGATAAATAGCCAAAGGATTCTAAAATCACTGGCCTGTTTCTGTCTTGAAACTGAAATAAAACTCGTCATCGCGACACCTTTCTGTGGTTTGTTTAATTTCTAACCTATTCACCTACAGACTTAGATTTTCCTTAAAAAAATATAACTCTGAAGCCAACAAATGAATGAATTATATTATTATTGAGAGATATCGCGAAAATTCCTTGCCCAGACCGATTATTTCGTTTTCTGGTGCTATAGCATTATTCTGAAGCATTCAGAGGCAATGAATCGAACCCTTTATTCATTCGGATATATCAACAAAGTTGAAATGGTAAATTGGCCACCGTAATGATTACAAAAGCTGACGTTTCGAGCGTTAGCCCTTCGTCATTCGCTCCGACGAAGGGCTAACGCTCGAAACGTCAGCTTTTGTAATCATTACGGTGGCCAATTTACCATTTCAACTTTGTTGATATATCCAAATTATTTCGTTACTCCCACCGACGCAGCCCCAAACAGTTTCTTTCGAAACTATCAGCCTTTATTCCTTTATTCATTCATCGGTTTTTTAATTCGTTTTACTTTCATATCCTATCTCCTATGGATAATTCCGGTTTTAAAGTCACTTCTATTTGAGGTCTAAGGCCAATATGGGGAATCGGAGGATAAAATGACAGACAGCCATGTTTACAATGAGAAGAAATGGTTTGTCACTGAAAGGTGGCCTAAATTGTTTTAGCCATCAAGATTTTACCACCTGCAGTTTGTTGTAATTTGTTAAACAACATTTAAGTTTCAACATCCAATATTTCAACTAACTAACTAGTTTGACTTTATTGTCATAATGATCCATTCGCAGTAAATGATTCATGCCACAGTCATGGAGTGGACGCAATTTATTTTAAGGCGAATCTTTCAATTATAATGAAGACAGCTGGTCGCTTCTTTAATTTAATTTAATTTAACATAATTTATATAGCGCTAACTCCACTAATAGACCAAAGCGCTTGGTCGATTCTTTTATTCGGTTGTTCGCCGAATGGACACTAAGATCAAAATTATTTTAATTGAAGACATCGATGTTGGCGCTCATCTTGGGGGTTTGAGCAACACGAGAGCCTTACAGAGAGATATAGCCTATCCGTAATTCTTATGGAAGGGAGCAGGGATGAAATTCAAAGTTTCAAGCTAAGATTCTTCGCAGACGCAAGGCCTACGATTTGCCAAAATTAAGACAAGGTTGAATTAGATCGCTACTTGTGCGACAGCCCTTGAATTTTTGGAAAATTTTCGTCGCGCAAGAACAAGGAATATCAGCTGATGATATTATTTGGCCGTGTTGATTGCTTTCGATGCTTTGTTTAGACAGTCAATTTAAGAAAAAGCAAATGTGTCTAATCTTTTCCTTCACTGCTTGCTTCACTTCTCTGTTTTTCCAACAATAAAGAAACGGATTTAGAGTTGAGTTAAAGAAAATCAAAGTTACTGTGACGGCCCATGCAAAATCTAAAGCTGGCGACTGTATTCCAGTCATTGCAAAAACGATAACGAGCGTTCCGTATGGAAGATAACACAACACCATTGATACTTGGACACATAATGCACTTGATACTGTTTTTCTGTATCGCCCCGTAAACTGTGGGCAACGGGTTGGAATTCTGTTCGATTCTCTTAGGTACGCATCAGTTTGGACCTTACGAAGAGTGCAAAAAATTTTTGAGTAACAGAACATAGATGATACTATGAGAATCAGCATTAATATGGCACTGATGACCAATGAGAGAAGAAAATGGTAAAAGTACAGAGTAGCAATTGCAATACCCAAGAGCCAAAATGACGTGACACAGATCTGCACTTTTCTTAAAGTTACCACTTGCCGGTATCGGACGCCCAGTAGAAGAGCTAAGAGTCGGTCTATGCCGATCGCTGTAAGTGTGGCCAGGGACACTCCTCCAAAAATTGTTGCCATGATATGAGCAATGAGTTTTACGAAAAAACAAGGAGTTGAGTGCTCCTGGGTCCACAGCACCAAGATGAAGAGTGGCTGAGTCGTGAGACCCACACACAGGTCCGTGCTCGCCAGACAGCTAAGAAGTAGTTTAAATGGAGGATGAAGGCTGGTCACTTCATGGAGAGCAATCATTACCAGAACATTACCCAAAAATGCAGTCAGTGACAGCGGAATATTTACAACAGAAAACAGTATCTTTTGATCTAATCTGTTAATCCCATGGACGCAGAATGGCTCTGGCAATGTCGCGTTGGCATCATATGCAGTAAAGTTGACCATTGGAGCCGAGCTACTTTCATTTACCACGAGTAGATGGCGAGAAAAGCTCTTTTAAGACGTTCTTCGTTGCGCCAGATCTCAAAGATCTTCGTGAAATATTAAGACGCACGTGCTGATAAGAAAAAAGGCAAGGTTATTATGTAACTACTATTGCAGAGTGTAACCAAGCCTTCAGAGCATCAAGCAGCTGTTCCTAAGCCTGTGTAACCAAGCCTTCAGAGCATCTAGCAGCTGTTCCCAAATAAGTACAAATATCAGATTAAAACTCCTGAAACTTTTGCCGATATCTATTTGATATCAACGACGACAAAAAGGATCTGAATCTCGATTTTTCATTGTTTTACAGTTTCTAACCAGTCCAAAATTAGGATCTTGATTAAAAACCTTCTTTTAATTGATATAGATTTAGCTTTTGTTTTCATTTAATCAAAATATCTCTGTTCGAAAAATATATCAAAAATATCAAAAATATCTCAAAAATATCTCAAATATATCAAAAATATCTCAGTCCAAAATTAGGATCTTGATTAAAAACCTTCTTTTAATTGATATAGATTTAGCTTTTGTTTTCATTTAATCAAAATATCTCTGCTCGCTTCCTCAAGAGCCATTCCTTAATTCTTGGGGACTTCAATTATCCTGCCATCAAGTGGATTGAAGGCTGCGGCTTTTCGAACTTTACGAACTCTGCCGATTCCGCTTTTTGTGAAACTTTACTCGACCACTCTCTACTGCAAGTGAACCCTTTTCCGACCCGCAAGGAGAATATTTTGGATTTAATAATAACTGATGCACCTGACCGCATTATGAACATTGCGACCTTAACTCCTCTACTGGCTGGCCTTGTGACCGATCACGACCTACTTGAATTTAACTTGGTTGCTAGGCCTCGTAGGGTAAAGAAACCTGCCCGCTATGCCTATAAATTTAAATCAGCTAACTTCGAGAACCTCAAACTGCAGATTATGCAGAGCTCTGCTATTAGTAATAGCGTATTACGTGACTCTGATGTTGACGCCTGCTGGTCCATTTGGAAATCCGCCCTTCTGGATGTTATCGATGCTAATATCCCTAAAGCCAGAGTCAGGGACTTAAACACACCTCCGTGGATTGACAAAGAAGTTCGTCACTTGCTGAAGAGGAAAGAATCAGCCAGACGTGCAGCGAAGAAACACAACAACGCTTTTAACCTGGAAAAGTTCAGGACTTTAAGAAAAGTATCTAAGGCACTGATAAACAGGAAATTAAGGGAATATCTCACTTCTCTCGGCGACAACTTGAAAGCCAATCCAAAACGCTTCTGGAGTTATTTCCGCCACAGAACCAAGTCAAACTCTATACCAGCTAATGTTACGTACGGTGGACGTCAGATATCCTCCGGGGTGGAGATGGCAGAAGCCTTCAATAAGTTTTTCTATTCTACGTTTACGCATGCGCCTGAGGTACCCCTTAAGCCATTTACGCCGCCCGACGGCAGGTTGCCCGTCTTCGACAGCTTAGTGCTGTGCGAGGACGAGGTCTACAAAGTGCTCTCGAATCTAGACCCGAGTAAAGCTCCGGGCCCTGACGGTCTCCCTACAACCGTGCTAAAGACGTGTGCAAGGGAATTAACACCTTCTCTTTGCGCCCTTTTTAATTTATCTCTTG